GCTCCCTCATCATTGGGCGTATCTCAAAGAATCTTTAGAAATAATCGAAAAATTGAGCTTTTAATTCATATAATGGCATCTGTTTTTTTTAAAGGTTATTTTATACTTTTTACTTTTACTTGAGTAAAGAGGTCAATTTGATACTGCAACATTGACCCGAGTGTTTTTAAACTGCAGTAACTATACTTCTACTTAAGTAACAATTGTATGGACTTTTGTCTTTGGCTCTTACAGACAAGGAAATTAAGTAAAGTGAAGGGAATGAATTGCATTGCCAGTTGTCTAGTTGTAAAAAAAAAAAAAAAAAGAATTATGATGGTGGATATTTTTTGGAAGCATACATAGCCTAACTAATATAGACTATAAACCTAAATCAATATGCATGGTATGGTTGTTACATGACAGGTACGCCGGTCATTGACCTGGACCAAGGCCCCTTACAGTGGAACTGCAGTCAGATCCTGGACCAGCATGGCTATCACTGCCCCTACATAGTAAGGGACAAATGCCCAGGACAAATTTCCCACTGGGATCAGCTTCATAGTCATGGCAGGCCGCTTCTTTGATTTTATTTATTTAGTTAAGTCTACTCGTAAGCCCACAGCCCACCAATTATTGAAAGGGGAATATTATTGCTATTACTGGTAATATATAGTAGAACTTTTACACATTCAGTAATAAAATGTCACAGGGGATGGTATGGGAGGGCGGTAAGACATGACTACTAATTCAGTGACAATGCAGTTCTTCATCCACGGTCACCAGTTGCTTGCTCAGAGTCAATGCTATGAGGTATCTGGCCAGGGTGCCTTACATTAATAATTGTTGACATTATTTTTTTTTTCAACTGAATTAGACAGCCTGCACATTGACTGCATTGAGGTGACATTTTCTGCAAATTTATATATAGCTGAACTGAAATGATAGCACTGGGGAAAGTGCAGAACCCTAATTTCGGGCAGGTGACAGGTACTGAAAGTGTGGAGAAGTTGGGGACAATGCTGCACTTTGCTATGTTCCACAAAAAAAGGAAAAATAGAAGAAAAACTCACGATAAAATATCTTTTTTTAAATCAGAAGAAATATAAATGGTAAGGCTGAAACCTTTAAAGGCATTTGCGCTGTAACTTTTTCAACTTCTGATGAACCTGAACACCAGTAACTGCACAACATATAAAAAAAGTAAAACTAAATCTCAAGGACAAAAGAAATATATGTATGCTGATACTTAAACAACAAATGATCACCTAAGTCAAAATTGTCAAACAAAAGTCACTTCAGTTTCTTATCAGTGTCACGACTTTCAGGTGTTTTCTGAACAACCCGTCGGTCCTATTCTCTGTACTCATCCAATGTATGTTTAGCACCAGCTGTGTCCACTCTGCTTCCCACTGCTTGGTAACAACAGAAAACACTGCATCTGTAGTTAAGTTCTGCACAGCCCAATCACCCTGCTGGGTATTAAAAACAGCTTAAGGGTCGACATTAAATTGAACTAAATTTACTTTGATTTGCAGTTTGATTTTAAAAACTGCCCCGCTGTTTGAAGAAACAACGTGCATTTCCTTTGGACGGGATTTATTAGGCTTAGGTATCAGTAAAATGACAAAGAGACATTTTTCTTTTGATGCATGATCTTGCTCTCCCTCAGATCCCAAAGCTTCACACACAAAAGCACCTAAAGGCAATTACAGTCACAACACTCTTGCTATATAATTTCATATAATTATTTTACGCATGATTTATTTTATAGATGATGACGTCTTGAAGGTGTATTGTGGGGCTGTCAATTACTGTATGATTTCACACTAAAAGCACAGAAACAGCCAAGAAAAACAGCCTCCAGTGTGTAGCAGGTCAGTATTCGTGCCAAAGATATTTGTCTTCCTTGCCAGGAGCGTCCTCTGGGAACAGCATTCCGTATCATTTCCCCAAAAGGCTCTCTTTCCTCTGCCTCACATCCAAAGCTCTGTCTCATTGACTTCTGCAGCATGTATGATGATGCACTTTTTAATGATGGAGCAAAAAGTCAGAAATCATTTCTCTGATACAAGCACGCGTATACGTAATTATGCTGTGGGATATTTTCAGATTCCGTTGCTTCTAATCTGCAGGTCTGCATGTGGATTTTGATTTGTGGATCTTTTTAAAGCGATGAGGTTGTGCCCTGTTCTTAAGTTACATCCAGAATAAGTCATGATTCTCATTTGTTCTATTGATTTTATTTTCTACAAAGTACCTCACAATTTATTTATTTTTACCTCTCAATTACATGCAATGATAGGATTCATGAATGTGAATGAAACAAATTCGTGCTCAAGAGAAGATCAGAAAGTACATTTACAAAATAAGCTCATTTTCTGATTATTTTCTTTCTGCTAAACATCTAAAGAAGACATTTAATCTTGGCATATATATATATATATATATATATATATATATATATATATATATATATATATATATATACACACACACATATATATATATATATATGATTACAACTTTCCTGAAGTGCAAAATATATTCAATGCTAATGAATACTGTACAGTGGGTGAAGAGGGCAGAGTTGTCCAGCTACAATCAAATCAGTCTTTGTTTGAAAATCTTATGGTTTTGTAATTTAAAGCTTGGCTTTAAGATCAGGAATAATCTAAAGCTAAGACAGAAATCAAACTGCAATCCCAGGAATGAGAACTAGTCATGATACAGACTATCAAGCTACTATTATATTGTGGCGAAGCATCAAGTTTATCATGAAAGAAAATGCATTGTTTTATGATGCTTGGACTTTTAATGACTGCCACAAAGATATCATTTGATTCGGATGTCAAAAAGTATTTTCTGAATGCGATCTTTAAAGCTACATTACTTTGGTCAACGCTAATGATTTAAACACAGATTATAAAGAGAAAGTAGGACTTTCAGTTACTTACATTTACTGCTTGAATTCCAGCAAAGAGTGCTTACAAAAACACAGTTTTATATTAATCCGAAATAGGAACAGAAATTACACAATCCAAATCTGCTAAGATTTTTTAAATACAAAAAAAAAATCACTGTCACAATGTGCATTTTGAAGTATCCCATGAAATAAGCTTGATAGAAATGGGAAAATTCAAATAAACTGCCTAAAATTTGCAAAAAAAAAACTTTGGTCGCATTAGGTGTTTTTTGCGAAAAAGGGTTGATGCGCAAAATCTGGTGTTGGAAACAGTTTTTTTCCGAATAAGCTCTGAAGTAGCAAACTTTTACTCACATAGCTGATCAGCAGCTGCAGGCCTTGATGCTCAATTCGGATTGTTTTGTGAAATTAATTTTTTTTTTGTGTTGCCGTTCATATTTCCAAATATATGTGACTTGTATGTAATCGCCTGTGTGAACTGGAGTCATACAACCCAAGTGCCCTGCGTGCGCAGTAGAGGACGCAATGACGTCACAGGCCAGCATGCTCTATGTTTATGGAAGTAAACATGGATGGTAGCACCAGCGCACATCTACCGATCTTTTCCAACCATAAAAACTCAATCTTTTCACATGGTTAAACATAAATACTACTCTCCGCATCATCATCTGCCATGGTTGTTGTTTTTCTTGCCGCTTCTGTGTAGCAAGACGCATAATAGTGACCATTGTCCGCTATTAATGGCTATTAATGGCCATTAGACACAGGTCGCATTTGAAAAGATCAGATTAGTATCGGATTCAGGACCACATAGCCAAGTGGCCTGGGTTGCATTGGAAAAAATCAGATCCGTGTTGTGTAGATCAGATCAGATCCAGGTAGCATATGGGCAAAAAAAAAAAAAAATCGGATTTGGGTCGCTTCAGGCTGCAGTGTGAACGTAGCCTTAAAGATCTGATTTATTATGCATATAGACATGTCAGGAAGCAGCATTGCCATTACCAACTGACATGATGACCTAAGAACAGCAACACATTCATTAAAACTTTCCTTCATTACTGATCTGTGGTCAGTGCTAGAGTACAGCCTCTACTTCCTGCTTACTATAGCCATGCATGACGACGAAATGATGTAGGACACCTTTATGGTGCTTGGTTAGTTTGCTCCAAACCAAATGGAAACATTGCAAATTTCCATTTTAAAGTTAGCTTTAAAAAATTCACTTAAATAGAAACAAGGCTATTCACCACTGAAGTAGCCAAAAAGAGCTTTTATACCACTGTTTAGGGATCCAGTCTGTCAGATTTCTATCCCCTGCTCAGTGAAGAAATGCCAAAGTTAGTATCCATATTTTGAACAACAACTTAAAGGTATAGCGAAGGATTTTCTTTTTCCCGGTGAAGAATCTAAATAAGTGGTCAGTCATTCTAATTGTCAGTCATTCTGGTGATATGTGTATGTAAGGCTGTCCTACGTAGTCGTCCCCATTTTCATGATGGTGAGTACTGGAAAAAAATATATATTGGAAAAAAAATTGCAAAAAACTTATTTTGGAAAATAAGCTTGCATAACTGATGCAAATAGCAACATTTAAACAGGGCATTCACATGCACTGGAGCGGGTACAGGTTTGTGCATCTCCAATTTGTTTTTTTTTAAGTGGAGAGGGTGGGTCTTCTCAAAAATTCGTGAAAGTCCTCCACTATACAGTACCTTTAAGTCAAGTCAAGTCAAGTCAGCTTTTATTGTCACTTTCTTCATATGTACAAGACATACAAGGGAAATGAAATTACGTTTACTCTCTACAATATACAAATATACAGTTGGAGCCTTTGAAAGCGTCCCTTTTATTTCTGGGGGCCAGTGTTTATTAATAGGTTCACTGTTTTGCAGGATGCACTATCACTCTTCACTACCTTCGCTACCTTTGTTGAAATGAAACAATGAATAACTATTATGAGCTACCCAACAAAACACAATTTAAAAGAAATGTTTAATCTAACTATGTATGACCTTCTAAAAATGTCCGCATTCAGTGATTTTATCATATAGGCCTACACAAAACCTTTTGAAAGATAGGTGTGTGTTTTTCTTACAGGTGGAGCTGCCAGCCAGCCGTACTTGTCTTCGGTGCGGTTCATGTCGCGGTCAAAGGAGTAGAGTTGCCGGTAGCGGAGATGATCCGTTTCCAAGAGGTTAAACTGCCGCCGGGCGTAGTGGTAGCTCTGATTGTTCCCTTCTCTGGGGAAATCCAACCACTCGGGATGACCAAACTCATTTCCTGCATCACAGAGAGTCATATTAGGGAGCGTGCATAATGAAGGGGAAAGCAAGTTGTTTCAAAATCAGCACACTCATCAACCTTTATGAGAGCTTTTTTTTTTTCTTTGAAGTTTTGGGAAATTTTCCAAGAAGAAAACACAAATAAAAAGATGAGATTAAACATGTAAAAGTGTGAGACATTTTTGATCTTTTAGCACCCCCATAGAACCCATCCCATAAAAATATAGCTCAAACTACAAAGGAAAACCACAAAAAAGTAGAAACACTCAATGACTTACATTCAATCTTTTCTAATATATTGTGCATTAACTAAGCAGAAGCTAATTATATATAATAAACCGAGATATCAGTTCTTTAAAGCTTAGTAAAGTTTAAAAATATGGTGCAAATGAGGTCCTATAAAGATTTTGTCCATCTGAAAGTGACTCCAGAGCACAGCTTAGTGTTAATTATAAGAAATTTATGGACATTACTACCACTTCCCAAGAATGGTAATAAGGAGGAAAGGAACGCGTGAATCAAACCCTTAGGAATTTTATCATCATTTCATAAATCTGGGTGCACGCTGCACAAGTATGTGCAACTATCCTGTCATGCGAAGAGATGAGATAATGAATCCGTCAGTGAATGTCATGAAACATTATAAAACATTGGTTGGGATAATTGAATTCCCACCAGAGGAAGAAAGAGACAATAGATGGAGGAGGATGCAACGGCAATAAATAAATAAATGAAAATGAAATTAAAAAAACCCACAGTGATCGGATGGAGTTGAACTGACGGGTACTGACAGCCAATTCTAATGAAAAACATTATGGAGGTGTTAAGGAAGTGGCAAACAATAAAAAAAAATGGACTGCCAATGGAAGAAGCTCACTGTAGGAGTCACCTCGAAATTAGGGCAGCGAAAACGTGAAGGAGGCGAGACAGACGTGAGAAGGAGAAGAGAATAAGAGAGGCAAAGAGAGCCGCTTTTTGTGACATCTGCATGAATAAAAAGCCTCCCACGCAACCTGAACATGAAGTTACACCTCAACACTAGCACTAAAAATCCAGACTTATTTTCACTCTCTCCGCCAGAGGATTGTGTTCATCATATTGTCTGACATTCCTGTGTGAATATTTCATATGAAATAGACCAAAAGACCCATAAATAAATAAATTATTCTAGCTGAAGGTTAACTGTGTTTTTAATACAGGGAGGGAAAAAAATCTGAAAAGAAGAACTATTTAACTGAAATGGTCTACTTCAAATGAATTAATTAAAACTGTTGCAGGAAGATGAAGAAGCAGAAAGAAAAGGGGAATTTAAGTGAAAGAAAGAGGAAAACATGGAATGATGGAAAAACACAAACTGATGGACCAGACTAATTGAAAACAATTAAAGCAGTTTCGCAAAACTGGGTCTTTCACAACCTTTTTCTGGTTTGTTACTGTTGAGACATTTATGATCCTGAAAAACAACTGAGAAGAATTTTAACTGTTGGGATAAACATCACTGCTTTGAAAAAGGTTTCTTCAGGACACCAGTTAAATTATGAAAAGTGATTTTGATCGCTACAGTGCACTCAGTAACTGCAATCAATTATAATTTGAAATTTATATTTATTCATGCTTTTTTATGAACATATCTTAGGAAAAAAAATCCCTAAATGCAATTCTTTTTATGGGCTTTTCAGATATTATTCATCTGAACTGTCAGAATGAATCCAAATGTCAGACTGAATTTGATTTTTAAAATAACCATAAACAAAATAATTGTTTATTCCCATTTATGCCCATTTTTTTTTTCACTTTTTTATCTTTACTCAATTTGCTGCTATACTATTTGCTGCTGTTACATCTCGAGTTTCCCACAGAGGAAAAAAAAAAAAAAAAAAAAATCTAAACTATTGCAAAAATACCCATATTTCCTATTTCTTCATTCATAGTCATGACTACTTCTCTCACTTTCCTATTTCTCATGTAAAGCCATTTTCCATTTATGGCAGACAACAGTTTGTTTTTGGACATTTTATCTTTTTAATCCTTATTTTCGTTTAAGCATAAAGCTAACTAGTGAGGAACATTATAGATGTCAACCTGACGGATGCTGCGGCTGATCAAGCCTTACTATAGATAAGCATTTGTAGACTGTGCAAGTACAGTACCAAATACATATTTATTTGACTATTTATCTTTTATTAATAACTGCACAGTATGTTTTCCTTTCTGAAATATGAACTAAACTTCCAGATTTTGTTCTTTTCAGATGTAGTCCTGTGTGTTCCTGAGTTTTTCTTTGTTTTTACTGCTGTTACATATGAATTTTCCCAATGTGAGAATAAAAACCCATATTTTCTATGGATTTTTATTCTACGGTATTTGAAAATTTTCACAAGAAGCAAACTGTTATAGTCATTTTCTTATAACGATCTACATCAACCTCTATTGTTTCATTGGCATATCCCACTATCTCAGGGAAATTGGTCCCTGTGGTTTCAAATATTTACACCCTTTGCAAACAGGAAAAGATAGATTTAAAAAAAACGTTTTAGGAAAAAAATAATCAATATAAAAAGTAATGAACCCTATAAGATATAAAAAAGATGTAGTTATATTTATCTCTTATGAATTTGAAGGCCTATTTATCAGAGATATCAAAGAACTGAGCCATCGTAGGAGTCCTTGTTTTCATACCAAAGCCCGCCTTGTGTGCTCACCAGTCGTGCCGATGTTCAGCTCAACAAAAACATATTCAAAAGTGTTTTGCAGCTAATGTATATTCAACTGAGCGGATTGAATTCAGTACTGATATGCAGTACTGCTTGATCTCTGCTGCACCTGCAATATTTATTTGGAACAACTCTGAGTTATATGGAAATGACTGTGCTAAAGATTGTGCTGTGACAGACGAGCCCAGGCAGTGGAGGAAATTGTTGCAGGCCAGTGGTGCAACAGGCATATCTGTGCTGTGCATGGTACATCAGGAGGTTAGAGACTTACTATGTGAAAATTTTACAATATGGATAGACTGAATGGCTGATATGGCCACTTTATTCCGGCCAGAGCAAGCACAGCCCATGCCTGACTGGGTTATCTCAGAACGTCAAATCAGCCAGAGTTTAATTTAGTCTGCTGGTTTTCTTACAAATATAAGCGTGCCAGCACCCCCACTTCTACTCTAATACAACAGATATGAATTTGATTTGTTTTTCTATAAATAAGAGGGGATCTCAGGAATGAGTCAAAAAGAAAAACAAATGTATCAGGAATAAGCAGTCACCCTGATCAAGCTCACAGGACACCTTGATGCTTTAAGGCATTATTTTATATTCTTTATTAATGCAAAACACCTTTTTGTATTAATCAGGATCCCATACCTCCACATAATTGTTTAAAATAATTCTGAAAACTTTTTTTTTTTTTTTACTTGAACAATTAAATGTGCAACTATGACTTCGCTTCACTGACTCCTCATTCATTTATGGGTTTATTTGAAAAATTTATTTACCGTCTTTGAATTCCACTGATTCTTTTGCTGCTTGTCATCTTTCTGAACTGCTATATTCATATACTAAAGACAAATAAATATTAAAAATGTCCAAAGAGAATAAACAAACTCAAAGGTGACATAGCTTTTTAAGATTTTTACTCTCAGGTTTTTAACACAATGTGGGATATCCACTCTGGCCTCTGGCGCTTTAGTTTTTTTTGGCTTTTCTATTTAATGCAGCTCTTATTTTGTTAAACCTTTCTGTTTCTATTGGTCTGCTATGAGCAAAATAAGGGAAACATCCCAAATACAGATATATGCGTTACCATCGTCATACAAATGCATTGCCACTTCTATGATGATGGCAACTGTAGTTAAATCAATTCTTGTAATGAGGGCATTCTATGGATTTCTTATAGATTTTAAAACTATTCTTTTACAGTTTAAAAAAGATCAAAAAACATTTTTTTTTGTTTTTTTAACTGATTTAAATTGGACGACAAAACTGATCTCTTCAGATATTTCACCCAGTTCCATCTCTAAGGTTTATACAAGTCTACCAGTCATTACCTGTTAATTTATTTATTATTATTATTTTTTTAATCTATTTATCTTGGTTAAATTAATCACATTTCACATTGAGAGAAATATCCTCGGTTGTGCTTAGCAAAGTTGACATAGCAGCATGGACCTACACCTACACTAATTAATTATCTAATTAAAAACACAAAAGTTTATCTTTGATTTGCAAAATTGAAGCTAAACAATATTAAACTATTTGAGCTGTCAAAAAAACCTAAAAAATCAAAGCAAAAGCACAGCATCAATTTGAAGAACTTTTTGGATAATGCCAGTCAGAAGAAGCACCGCTTTCCATGGCCTCAGCCAGGTTTTACATAAACAACAAAAACAAGAATGTTTAAAGCTCTGTTCTAGACTCTCCACTCTCTAATACATTAAAATGAAGTCTCTCAATCACCTCAGGGATCTCTCCTGAATAAAAACAAAAATCCCACTCAGTTGGCAAAAATCAATACGAGTTGTTTAATGCATATTTCATAACTTTACTGTATCCTTCATCAGGCTGACTTGTAAATATCTACAGTACATTTCCCAGTTTTACTTTCAGCATGCCCTTGGGAAAAGGCTCATTGTTGCACAGAGTTGCACACGGTACATCTAGAAGTGAAAGCAACCACAAAGGCATTGTCCTTTTTATATGGAAGTAAAAAAAAAGGATCAGTGCCGTAGAGTGCAGCTCAAACTACAAAAAAAAAAAAAGCTATCAAAAAGTATGCGGTACTTTACATACCAGTGACGAAACACAGACCGAGAAAAAATGCATTACGCAGGTATTCAAACAAGAGCCATAGATACGAAGGCCATCCGAGGTCTTTCCAGTTGTGATGAAATTCAGAGCAACTTCTGAACATGAGCTCCTCTCAAAATTGCAAATTTATCAAAGGTTATGAGGATTCTTTAAAGAATATTACAGCCATACATGTGAAAAGCAGGAACTTTAC